AACTCAGGAACAGCAAGATCATGACCTGAGCTGATGTGGGACGCTTTACCAACTGAGCCACCCAGGCACCCCTAGCTCATATTTAATGAGCCATTCCTATGTAGTAGGCACTGCCCTACTCTTGCCACATAACAATTCATAATGATCTTATACGGCAATTATCATTATTGATGAGAAAACTTAGGCCCAGAAATATTTAGTAATTTGGCCAGGATTACACATTCAGTAAGTAGTAAAGCTGATACTTGGATCAAGGTGATTTAACTGTAACACTGCTCCACTTCGTTTTCATGAAGCATTGTCTCACATACCTCAAAAGTTCCAGGTCTTCCAATTCATAAACATGATACACTTTTCTATCGATTCACTCCATTCCTCTGAATTCAATACATTTCTTTATTTTATTATTTTTTTATTTTTTCTGAGAGCGAGAGAGAGACAGTGTGAGCAGGGGAGGGCCAGAGAGAGAGGGAGACACAGAATCCAAAGCAGGCTCCAGGCTCTGAACTAGCTGTCAGCACCAAGCCCGATGCGGGGCTCGAACCCACGAACCGTGAGATCATGACTTGAGCCGAAGTCGTGGCTTAACTGACTGAGCCACCCAGGCGCCCCTGACTTCAATATATTTCTTACTCATTCCTAGATATTTTATATGCTTAAATAACTAAAATAAGATCTTTTGTATTAATTGTATTTATATACTTAAATAACTAAAATAAGATCTTTTGTATTAACAAGCTAGCTATTGTTAATACGTGTGAAAACCACAGCATATAAAGTATTTATGTATCCTGGCCACCTAACTACACTCTTATTAATGCTAATAATATTTCTATCAGTGCTCTTAAATTTTCTTGGAAGGTAATTTTACAATTTCAAATTAATGATCACTTTCTTTCTTCTTTTCAATAACTATATCTTTTGTTTTCTAGTCCCATGGCTTTTTGCTTAGAGTGACATTAAATATCAGGTGGGAGGGATCATTCTTACTCTATTGCTGATTTTAATGGGAATGTCTTTTGTTCCCTATTCTCTACAAAGGTGGATATTAGTTTAGACAAATATTCTCTAACCTGTTAAATATTCTTTGTATCAATAGCATTTTAAAATTTATTTTTTAATGTTTATTTACTTTTGAAAGAAAGAGTGCAAGCAGGAGGTGTGGGGGTGGGGTGGGGGAGTGGGCAGAGAGAGAGGGAGACACAGAATCCAAAGCAGGCTCCAGGCTCTGAGCTGTCAGCACAAAGCCTGACACGGGGCTCGAACTCACAGAACGTGAAATCATGACCTGAGCTGAAGTCAGACACATAACTGACTGAGCCACCAACGTGCCCTCATAGCATTTTTAAATGTTAATTATTTCTGGGGCACCTGGGTGGCCCAGTCAGTTAAGTACCAACTCTTGATATCAGCTCAGGCCATGATCTTGCAGCCAGGAGATTGAGCCCTGAGTAGGGGTCCATGCTGGGTGTGGAGCCTGCTTGGGATTCTCTCTCTCCCTCTCCCTCTTTTTCTGCCCCTCCCCCATTCATGCTTCCTCTCTCTCTCTCTCTCTCAAAAATAAATATTTTTATGTGAATTATTTCCAATAAAAGTCTTTCTAAAATGTATTGACTTTTGTCTTCTTTAAACAAAAGATTCAAAATATAACTTTCCTCAAAGATTCAGAATCACTGGCTGCATATCCATTACTATAATGCTTTAGGTCACATACAACTTTCTTGACTCTGTATGACTATATCCCCTGAACACTAGATTTCTTGAAATCAGGGCTCTGCTTTTTATGTTTCTTTTCTGTGCCATTAAGTTGTCACTTCCTGCTGCTGTCAAGGCATGTGTCTCTAACTATTCCCTTTTACCCCAAGTTTTTCTAGATGTCTAAATTAGAAAACTCTACTTCTTAAAGTTACATATAAAATGAGAACAAATGCTGAGAAAGCACTTTCTTTATGAGTGAGTATGATCACAAAGAATCCCTAAGCCATTTTGGCTATGATTAAACTTCTCCCTGTATCCAGCTCTGCCCTGGGGGAGAGAGGCCTCCAGGTAGCTGAAGCATTTATTACCCCTACAGGTAAGGAAGTAAATATAAGCATGCTTTAAAAACTTCAATAACAGGGGCACCTGGGTGGCTCAGTTGGCTAAGCATCTGACTTCGGCTCAGGTCATGATCTCTCAGTTTGTGAGTTCGAGCCCCACATCAGGCTCTGTGCTGACAGCTCAGAGCCTGGAGCCTGCTTGGGATTCGATGTCTCTCTCCCCTCTCTCTCTGTCTCTAAAAGATAAATAAACATTAAGAAATTTAAAAAGAAAAGAACTTCAGTAACAAAACAGGAGGAAAGCACGTAGTAAAACAGAAAATTCATTAAACACCTCATTCTACAATCATTCAGGAGGCTTTCTATAAAGTTATTAGAAGATTTCATCCCAATCCATGATGAAAATTAGTGATGTCAGTAGCCTTCCTACTTTGGAAAGAGCGTGAAGGAGGAATGATAAATAACCTACAGGGGCAAGTGAATCTTGTCATATTTATCTTCCATGCTTATTGAAGTAATGACACGGCAGGAGGCTTTATGTAAGCTAGCAACTCTGGGGGTATATAATCCTGTAAGAGAAATGAATACGCCCACAAATGATTACAGTAAGAGTCATTGCCTGTGTGAGGGTTGGGGCTGCAATTTTCAGGCTCAAAGAAACACAGTCACTTGAGGCAGGAATATCAGAGAGGGGAAATGGGCACCCCTGTCACATGCCATGAGAAAACAACCATGGAACTAGGTCTGAGCCTGTGGGAATGGATGCCCGGGGTCGGTCACGCCCCTCTCCAGGGCTCTCCAGGCCACAGCTGGCGCAGGCCCACCCTCAGTCCCAAACCTGGCTTGTTTTCCCGACACTTGGAAGATTCCACATATCCTCCTTGTATACCAGTCTTACTTTTGTTGCCAAATGGCCTACAAATATTTCCTTTAAGTAAGCACACATATTTTAAACAACTGAGCTTTTGCATTGAAATGTAATACATGCATGTGGCTCAAGAAAAAAAAGAATTAAACAGTACAAGTAACTATGCAGTTACAAATGAGTGTCCCTTTTATCCCACTCCCCCAGACTCCCTTCCCAGGCACAACCACCAATTTTTAGTGTAACCTTCTAGAGATTTCTGCAAATGCATAAGCACATGTGACTAAGCACATGTATAAACACACACGTATAAGCACACATCCCTTTTAAACAGATGATACTAAGTTAGGCACCTTGTTCTGCATCTTGCTTTTTCTAATTGGTAATCCATCTTGGAGATGGGGTTAAGCCTTAACCTAACGGGCTCAGACTCCCTCCCATGATCCTTATAAGGAAAGATCATCTGTAAACCATGTGCAGGAATGGAGAGGGGACTCACCACGTGTCCCTCTGTCAGAACACAATTCTGCAAATCTGCTCGTGCTCAGGTCTCAGCCGGAAGGTCACCCTCAGCAATGTGTCTTCTTGGGTCACCTTTTCTATGGAATACTTGCTTTCTCATCCAGGAATATTCTTCCCCCAGAATCCTGTATGTTTTCTTCATACCATTTAGCAGAGTATCCAGCTACTTTCTTTGCCATTTACTGGCTCACCATGTGTCTCTTCCCACGAAACAGCACCTCCATGAGTGCCAAGGCCATGACTGTCTCGATCACTGCTATGTTCCTGTGTCCACCACACACTGCCCATGACAGGTGCTCTGTGCATACAGGATATGAAAATAAGTGTCATAACTGTACAAAGCCCCTTTATTTCCTGAGTGAGGGATAGATGAGGCAGTATGAGATCATGGAGACAAGAATGAACCCCAATTTATTGATGGAAAAACAGGTTTGGGAAGAAAGCACAACTTGTCTGAAGCCACATGGTGAGTGGCGCCAAAATTACAACCCACACATCATGATTCAAGACCCATACCTTTTCCACCTCTAGAAAATGCCAAGTTGTACTGATTGAATCTCAGCTTCCAAAATGCCAGTCCTCATTTTCAAGTTGGACCTTAACTCTGCAAATGTCCACAGATAAGGGGCCAAAACTTCTCACACTCCTTCCTCCAATTAAGATCTAAGGATGTGTCCCAGGCCACCCCAGGAAGCAGCTAGTCCCTCACCAGACACAAACTGTCCTCCTCACATTTGACAGCTGTCAGGGATTTGGGGCTCCAGGGAGAACCCAGTAATTTCCACTCACGCTTGCATGGCCATCCTGGAGGGAAGAGGACAGGACATCGATCACCTCCCCCCCCCCCCCCCCCCCCCCCCCCCCCCCCCCCCCCCCGGTCATTACAGGCCTGTGTGCTTCGGCATGCGCCCCCTAGCTGCACAGCCCAGGCCGGAGAGGCAAGAACAGGTATGTGGCCCCGCAGGGAAATGTGCTCTTCCTCAAACGGGACAGGCTTTCTGGGAGCCACCTCGCTAGCTGGCCCATTGGCAGGCATTGCAGGCCAACCGCAGAGCTCTTCCGTGTGGTGAGAAAAGGGCCCTAGGAGCAGCTGGCTCCCCTGGGACTTGAAGCAAGCATTCGATCTTCATGGCTGGTCCTGGTCAGACCCTGACCACCATCATTAGATGAACAACAAGACTTTGCCACTGGGGCAGACTTTAGTGTTTTGTTGACTTACATCCTCTATAAAGAGACCATAAGAGCTTCCAAGCCAAAACAGTCTTAAAAATAAAAAGAGTACCCTTAATACTTATGCCAGGATTTCAGACATGAACCAGGAATGTCCCAGGCAAAGCTGGAATATATCACCCTAACTACGGCAACAGTCTGCTATTCCTAACGGCCCCAAACACATCTCCGAGCTTGGCTCATCTTCCAAAGGACTCCCCCAGCTGCACATCCTCCCCTGCCTGGCATTTATAAAACTATTCCCAAGCATTTTCACATCCATATAACACTCTTGTGAACCATAAAAACAAGCATAATCTCCCCGTTAAAAACAAAGATATTTTAAAAAGGAGGGAGGGCATCATGCCTGGGTGGCTCAGTTGGTTGAGCATCTGACTTCGGCTCAGGTCATGAAGTCGTGGGTTCAAACCCCACATCAGGCTCTGTGCTGACCGCTCAGAGCCTGGAGCCTGCTTCAGAGTCTTTGTCACCCCTCTCTGTTTGCCCCTCTCCCACTCATGCTCTGTCTCGCTGTCTCTCAAAAATAAATAAATGTTAAAAAAAATAATAATAAAGAAAAGAAATAAAAACAAAGATAAAGGCATAGTAAGGTAATGGTCAAGGACCCACAGAAGTTCCTGGCAGAGATCAGCACTATTTATAGATCTATTTAGGACATGATCAAGTAGGTCGCAAATAAGTTTGACCTTTGACATCCACTATTTCCTCCATTGATAGGTCAAGCACTATAGTGCAAGAAAACAAGGGAAGGAAAAGCATTAGGGAACATCCTAACCCAAACCAGTGAATATGGAGAACAGAGGAGCCTGAGTAGCACTTGTGAAGGCAGACAGAGGGCAGGAAAAGGAGAAGCAGCCTGGCCCACTCGGTGGACACTTAGAGGTCCTGGGGACTAGTCCAAGTGCGGGAGTGTCAAGGCAGGACACATGGGAGATCCCACTTTGGGGTGGGAAGCAGGAAACACTAGAGAACAGAAAAGAATTATGGGCTTCACCAGCAAGGAATTCTAAGTCACTCTCTCACAAGCCACAGTGGTAATTTCATCCATTTTATTGTTCCTCTGAACTATAAAAGAAAAACCAAATACACCATTAAAGGCAGCTTCTCCAGGCCTGGAACATCTCTCCTTTATGCTTGGGGAAGTTTGTTCAGAGATTACAGAAACAAAGACACCTCGGAGGGTGATGCTATTTTTCCAAGGAACTTCCCCATCCATCTAGTGCTGAACATGCACTTTGGTTGAGTTTCACTTGCCCTGGGAGAGAGCATGACCTGTGTCCCAGGGAAGACAGGGGAATCCTGGGTGTTTGGGAGTCTAAAAGAGCTGGCTTCCAGCTCATGGTCTGCTACTCATTAGATAGGGGCCCTAAGCCAAGCCACTCACCTTCTCGGAGCCTTGGCCTCTTACCTGTTAAACCACCCTGACACTGCTGCAGCTCACAGGCGTGGTGATGGTGCATAGAACCTGCTGTGGTGCACAGATGGCCACCTGGTGACCTCACAGGGCTCTGTACGTGGACAGTGCTATCATTTGTCTACTTAGAGGATTAAACATCACATATGGGGGTGGCGGGGGCACCTGGGTGGCTCAGTTGGTTAAGCATCCAACTCTTAATTTCAGCTCAAGTCATGAGTTCGAGCCCCACACCGGGCTCTGTGCTAACAGCATGGAGCCTGCTTGGGATTCTGTCTCCCTCTCCCTCTGCCCCTCCCCAGCTCGCTCTCTCTCTCTCTCTCTTTCTCTCTCAAAATAAATAAAAAGAAACTTTGAAAAAAATCATATGTGGTTTGTCTACAGATAAATGCCTCTCAAATATTTTAAATGAAAAACTGAGAAACAAAGTCAGATCCTAGCAAATTATTATCATTTCAAAAGTCTTACGTTAACTTCATTAACGCAAATTAACACGTGCCCCTGTTTTGTCAAGACAGACCTAGAACACAGACCACCACCCTTCCGAAATCGTGGACATTTTACACGGAAGAGAAAGGTAAGGCTGGCAGAGTGTGAACCAGCGCAAAATACCAGGTATCTGTCCAGACGCAGGCCGGGGCCTGACTTAACTGCATGTCAATACAATTCCAATCGAAAGGTTTTTGAGCCAGCCTACCCTTGCTCCAAGGCCAGATTTTTTTTCTCTCCCCTAGGACTGAAAATGTTCTCACAGCTCCCTGCAGTGGCATTGCTTAGGAGAAAACTTAGCACATTTTAGATACTCAACACATGTTTCTTGATAAATCTTCAATCTGAAAATAATATGGTAATTCGTGAAATGCTGGCTTCAAACAGCCAACTTCTCTTTGACAACACCCTCCCAGGAGAGGTGTCCTTCTCCCAAACTTTGCACCTTCTTGGCAACACAGATTTTCCTTGGCTCATTTCTGATGCTATGGTAAAATCAGCATTCCCAAGGAGCAGTCAAGACCATGCAGAATAAGAAGGGGAAAAAAGAGACCAGGCAGAATAGTCTCAGGCCAAGAGTTTCCACTGGAACCAACCTTAGGACAATTTTCTTTCTTTCTTTCTTTTTTTTTTTTTTAATTTTTTTTATTTCTAGAAGAGAGAGAAAGAGAGACAGCATGAGCAGGGGAGGATCAGAGAGAGAGGGAGTCACAGACTGAAACAGGCTCCAGGCTCTGAGCTGGCAGTCAGCACAGAGCCCGATGCGGGGCTCGAGCCCACAAGCCGCGAGATCATGACCTAAGCGAAAGTCGGACATTTAACCGACTAAGCCACCCAGGCACCCCCTTAGGACAATTTTCAAGTTCAAGTTCACTGCCACTTTCAAAGATGTGTGTTTCAGGATGGTCAAACTCCAAGCAAGGCAGTTAGGCAATGGCAGTGAAGATGATGTTAAGTGCTCATATTTCTGGAAAGCAAGTACCCAAGGTAAACTCAACCAAGAACATCCACTGTCTCTGCAGACGCCTGCAGCTTTTCTACAGGAGATGGGCCAGCCAGGAAGATGAGACCCTGGAAATATTAGGCAGGCCCTGCCTAGTGGCTCTGGCTAGACATGCTACATGCGAAGAAGGCCACCACCCAGGCAATTGCCAAACCATCCTAACCAGATCCTCATACTCAGATCTGGATACAAAGCCTCTGAATGTTTCTATCTAGGACCTCCAACCTTTCACAGCCACACATTCCTCATCATTTAGAAACCACTTTGCAATGGAAGCACGGGCTGTGAGGGCAGGATCCTGACATGAGGGAGCAGTCTTTGTTTTATATTTTTCAATAGGATTTAAAAAACGTTTTTTCAATGTTTATTTATTGTTTAAGGAGAAAGAAACAGAGTGTGAGTGGGGAAGGAGCAGAGAGAGAGGGAGATACAGAATTTGAAGCAGGTTCTAGGCTCCAAGAGCCCAACTCAGGGCTCAAACTCATGAGGCATGAGATCATGACCTAGGCTGAAGTCAGATGCCCAAATGACTGAGCCACCCAGGTGCCCCTTTCAATAGGATCTTTTAAAATTATAAAGTGATTCATGCTCATTGTATAAGATAGAGGCAATACAGAATAAGAAATAAAAACCATCCAAATCTCCATAACATATAAATAACATTCCTATGAATGCATATATATATATATATATATATACGTATGTATATATGCACACCTATATATAATTTAAAGCATAATGTACATAAGTTTTGAATCTCACAGTTCTCACCTAAAATTACTTAAAAACATTTTCCAACAGTGTTCAATGTTTATATTTCATGAACACTGGCATAGCCTTTACTCTGTACGGGAAACTGTCCTAAGCGCTTTCACAAGCACTAATCCTCACACGGGCCTATAAGGTGAATTCTGCTATTATCCCTACTTGCAACCAGGAACACTGAGGTATCCCAGGACACGCAGTAGCAGAGCTGGAGTTTGCACCTGTCTGTCTACCGCCAAAGGCTCTGCCCTTGACCTCCATGCTGGACAGCCTCTGCAGCCTTTGGAAATCTGACTTTTTAGGACTCCCTAATATTCCAGTTTGGTCTCCTGTGATTCGAGCAGTGCCACATTTAAGACCTAAAAGTCTCTTCCAGCCAAGTTCCCTTGGCTCTCTGAGTTGTTTGTTTTTCTAATTTTTTAAATGTTTTTAATGTTTATTTTTGAAGAGGGGGGCATAGAGAGAGGGAGACACAGAATCTGAAGCAGGCTCCAGGCTCTGAGCTGTCGGCACAGAGCCTGACGTGGGGCTTGAACTCACGAACCGTTAGATCATGACCTGAGCCGAAGCTGCACGCTCAACTGACTGAGCCACCCAGGGGCCCCTGAGTTTTTGGATTGTAGGAAAAGGATCCTGAATATCAGTTGCCTCAACTTTTGACTACGAGATACCCCCTGGGACAAGCCATTTATAGCAAACTGGGGGAAACACTGCCAAAGAAATGGTCAGTGTGAGAGCATTTGCTGTTTGACCCTGGCTCCCAAGCCCGGGTGCCCTAGGGAATGGTTGCTTCCCACTTCCTCCAGCTCCAGGAGGCTGCCTGATATTTGCCTGAGCTTCACTGTCTATGCTAACATGGGGCACCTGCCTCCTGTCTGACAGGATGAGACTTAAGGAGACAGCTAGATGAACCGGAAGTGTGTGGCTCAACCTGGCCCAGGGCTGGGTAAGGTACAGGCTGTTTTGTTTTCAACTTCCCTGCTGATTCAGGCAGATATCCACTTGTGCCTTATCCCTGGGATGGGAAGGACAGATTCTAGAGTCAGACAAGCTAGGACTGACTCCCAGCCCTGCCATTTCCTAGCTGTGGGGTTTTTCACGAGTGTCTTATCCTCTGTGAACCTTGTGTCCTCATCTGTGTATCAGGCATAATAATGGAACCCAGCACACAGGTTACCGTGAAGATTAGACGACATAGTGTGTGTCAAAGACCTTAGCATCTACCGGGGACTCAGGAACTCACAGCTCTTCCTACCACTTCTTTGCTCATTTTCCACATTCTCTGCTTTCCCCTGTATTCATTCATTTATTTCTCCAATGAGGTGGAGCCCAGGAAGGGGGCAGGGGATTCGCCCAACAGGCCTAAGTCTGTAACATAAGAACCCTCAAGCAACCAGAGGCGAGGGTAAGCTAGAGACCTGGTCACTCTCCATTTCCCTTGTCCACTGCGCGGCTCAGGAGGACCTGAGAGTGGGCCTCATGTTCCCACCCATGGCCATAGGTCATCATCAGAGAGTACTAGGACTGTAAAGGCCTCTTCCAACAACCCAGAGAACCATCAGCACCTTATTTCTGAAAGGATCACCTTCTTGAAAGGAAAGCAGTCCTGAGGAGCTTGGTCCTGGCCCTGGGGCTGGAATACCTGGTTCTGAGGCCCAGGTTGGTATGCAGGAAACTGTCTGTCACCACCCAAGCCTGCCAGTTTCCAGTGATAAGGCTCCCTAGGGCTCTGAGCGGGCGTGTCCCCCAAA